CTGTTTTCTGTTTGTCCGTCTGTCTGTCTGTCTGTCTGTCTGCTTGTTTGTCTGCCTGTTTGTCTGTCTGTCTGCCTGCTATCGGTCTGTCTGTCTGTCTGTCTATCTATCTGTACACCTATCTGTCTGTCTGTCTGCCTGCTATTCTCACCTGACCCAGTTCTTGCTTGGCAACTCCCGTCCCTCAATGGTGTAGGTGATCCTTTGGGCGTTGTCGGGCAACATGGCGGTCGGCGCGGGCATCCAGGACAGCTTGGCAGCATTTGGCTTGACCTCAAGCAGCACTGGCTTGTCGATGGGCATTGAGGGGATTTTGTCTGCGGGGACAAAGAGAGTACACATAAAATGTTGATTATTCATTATAAGAGCCTTGTAAAAAAGAGTGTCGCTCAACACTGACAAAAGACCACCCTCCCCCGCACTTTTACACTTCAAAAGGAAAGGAAAAAGATAAGCTGTGCCGCAGATGAAAATTTAAATTTAAGTGTGTCACACACACACATACACACACACACTCATACATACACACAAACACACTGACACACACATACACACACATACACACATACACACTGACACACTACAAATACGCACATTAGCATGCCCCTCCCCCTCCACACACACACACACACACACACACACACACACACACACACACACACACACACACAAACACACATACACACACACACACACGCACATACAGACACACGTAAATTTCCTCACTCACGCATCTCCCTCAATAGACCAATAAAGAAATAAAAATTATGAACGAGTCATTTTTTAGCCTCTCTAACAACATTGAAAGTTCGCAAACAGTAAAACCTCAGTACATCTATATTATAGGACTCCTACCAGTAAGTTGCAATAAATCTGTTTCATCAAAAACCACTACACAGCCACTGGCAGTAAGTAACAGTGCACCTGTACCATCAAGCACTCTATACAACGTACTTACAGTAAGTTGCAGCGCCATCAAGTACTCACCTTCGGGGGCGATTGTCCGACCGAGAGACGATTTTCTAGCAGGCTTGGGAGAAGCCCGGAATCCCTCCACTCCAAAAGCTGGCGAAATGAATCTGGGCAAAGACTGGCGGGAACGCTCCTCTGGGAAAAATAAGGGAAGTAATTGTTGCAAATGGACGTGCTTTACATTCCCATTAACACAGTTTAGATCATTAAGGAGGCGGGCTTCGACCCTGTCTGTCAGAGCTAACTCGGGTTGAAAGGGATACAACGTCCCAACAAGAAAACCAAGATGCTCAATATCAATTCTTAGAGACACACAAATCAAACTCAGGTCTTCTGAGTGCGACAGCGAAGTGTCTAATTGCTTCAAACGACAAAATAATTTTGAACTAGTAAAGACACACATGGCATTTGAAGAAAAGTACCAGTTTTTGTCTTTGGAGGAATACAAGAGAATTCAGCCTGTGCGAAATTCCCTTCCATACTGGAAAGGTGCATACTTATATTTTTAAAAAAAGTAATTCATTTATAAAATTCACAGCTTCTCAAAGAGATCGTCAGGGACAAAGAGGTGTAGAAATTATGTTTTTCTGTTTACTAACAATCGAAAACTTTTACGCAACGTCCCTTTCGCCTCCTCAAAAAAGGCCAAATTATTATGCGTATCAGGGTTTACGTAATAACATGTGTACGGCTTTCAAATTTGTACAAATTACTCTTGAATTGGGGGGGGGGGGGCAATTTTGTGCAAGAACATGCCTTTGGTTGACAGAACGGCTCTAAATTGAGCTGAATGAGCAAAGAGTACGTTTGTACCCCACCAGAGGAGGGATTGCGGCCTCTGTTAGAGGGCAGGGGACTAATCATCCCATTCCCTCCCTCGCCAGCTCGGAATGGTGTAGAAGACAGTTAGGTCCCACCTGAATCAAACCGTACAAAACAGAACAAAACTGTACTAAATTGAACTAAACAAAAACCAAACGATCTCAAACAGAGCCAGAGTGAACCAGACTGAACCCGACTGAACCAAACTGAACCAACCTTGCACTTTAAGCTGAGCCGAGCAGAAAGCCTTTCCTGCGTCATTGAAGAGAGTGCAAGTGTAGGTTCCCTCATCGATGGTATCGGCGTTCTCCACCACCAGGATAGCGGTGTGTCCCTCGCGACCCATCTTGTACTTGGGTCCCCACTTCAGAGGGAAGCCATCTTTTTGCCTGGAGATACAATAATTACCGGTCAACAGGTACCAAGTCTGGAAGAGACTTCGGCGATTTTTGTTCGCCAATCATTTCTTTGTTGGATGCTCTGAAAATCGATTTCATCTTGTCTTTCCCTGACACCATCCTGTTAACGATTTCCAAGTAATTTGCTTTAGGTCTATCTCTGTCACGTTTGCCTCCAATTTTGTCATTGACAAAAAGCCAAATACAATATGATCATGTTGATTGATGACGGTAGCATAATGAATATCTCGGCCCGAAAATGAGCTCTATGTGCGTTCCGTTCAATTACATGGATAATGATTCAAATGACACTGCCATGTACATCTTAGTGGTTGAATAAATAATTCTGTTGTAAATGTCTACGACCGCCACCCCTCCCCCCTTACAGTTGATTTGTGCAGCGGTCAAAATATGATCATGTCACCCAAGTCTGGAACACTCACCATTCCACTTCTGGCTCCGGCACTCCAATAACCATGCACTCAAACCTAGCCATACGTCCAGGCAGACATCTCTGATCCCCGAAACGGCGGGTGAAAGATGGCGGAAAAGCGTACTTGGCTGCGTCATAGTCCAGATTGGAGCTGGATACAGGAGAGGTTGGGATGAGGAGGAAGAAGTAAAAAAATGTTCAAAGTAAGAGGAAGGCAAAGCTATGTAGTTTTCATCCATTTAAATCAACTTTTCCTTGCACTCTCGTTAGAAAGGTCACACTAGCATACTCACACGGTCATATTTTGTCTTCTAGGCATTTATGTGCACATACGTTCAAACATAATGCGGTCATAATTTATCAACGCTATTCCTTACGTATAATTCTCAGCATTAACAACAACGAAGCGTTTACAGTAATAATGATTTCCATCTATCAGTGGCAAACAAAGAAACATAAATATTCTCATAATATGCTTAAACACACACAAACACACACACATACACCCACACACCTACACACCCACACACACACACACACACACACACACACACACACACATACACACACACACGCGCGCGCGCGCTACGAGGGGGCATAAAAACCCCAGTAAGTCAAA